CTTGCATTACCAGCTTCCCCGCCAAAAAGGCGGGTGGAAGGAAGGCCAGTGGCCCTGCTATGAGACCCCAGGGAAGTGCTGTTCGTGCAGAGACAGGAGCGTGGAGGGGACAGGGCACGGGGAGAAGCTGGAGAGGTAAGCTGCCAGCTTGGAAACAGAGGAGAGAAGCACTGGTGGACTCAGATGCAGCAGTGCAACGGGGCTGTTACTGTTCCGTGACTTCTTCCCAGCCAACAGGAGGGCTCTGGAGCCCATCATCAAGGTCACAAGTCAATGAAACCCACACGGGCTCAACACAGCGACAGCAGGGGCTGCAAGGGTGCCTCGTGTATCCGCCCCAACAGAGGGACTGTCAAGGACTCGCAAAAAAGGCAAGAGGGTGCGTGCATGTGTCTGAGAGGGGCTCAGTCAAACACACTCCTGAAACCAGAGATGAAAAGCCACAAAAGCCTGGGAACTTCTCAGCTCATTTCACACCAGAGAGGAGCAGGGCTGGAAGCCAGGAGAGCTCTCCCTGTCCAACCAACTCACCGGTGACTCTCCCATCACCCTCTCGCCGTTGTTGATCCTCATTACCCCTTTGCGCCCATTCCTCTCCAACAAGACACTTATCCAGGTGTTGAGGGGAACTGGCTCCTTGCTCCTGGTGGTGAGAAGGGCAGGAGAAGACACACAGGTGTCACCATCACCCTACCGAGCATTGCCACCGCCACCCCGACGAGCAGCTCCCCAGCCCACCCTACCTGAGCACAGCCGCCCCTTTGCCCAGGTCGTATCTGTACTCCAGGTAGCCGTCGTGTAAGGCCAGAGAGACAAAGTCCCCTTTGCCATCTGTCTTCTGGCCGTTGTAGAAGATCATGCCGCTGGGGTTCTTGGCCAAGAACACAACTTCCATGGACATTTTGTCCCTGAGGAGAGAAGGATTATGGATACCCTCCAAGCCAGCTGCCCAGATGTTCTCTTCTTCCACTCCCTTGTGTCAAGCCCTTGGAAAACCTCTGCCTGCCTGGAACTACAGGTATGGCAGAGAGATGCCACTCCCGTAAGGCACCCTTGCCTTGGACATCTCCAACACTCAGGATGCTGCTCCTTGGAGCCTGTTGCAAAGCCAAGCACTCAGTCTGGCTGCAGGGATTCTGGCGAATTCCTCTGGCGATGCCAGTCCTGCTGGACAAAACCTCCAGCAGGCAAAAGGGGAGACCTCTCAGGAGAGCCGGCGTGCGGCAGGGGAGGCTCAGAGCCCGAGCTCTCTCCTCCGAACCAGCCTCGCAGGCGATGTGTGAGGAACAGCCCCTGGCACTTACTGCAGGTCAGGAACGAAGGTCTGCAGCCCGTTCAGCTCCAGGTAGGAGAAGCCATTGAACTCCGGGAGGAAGGGCATGGTGTGGTCCTGCTCTGTCACTGGGCACAAACGAGGGCATGGTGAGGAAGAGGAGGCAGAGCGGCTTCAGCCAGTGCCCCAGTGCCTCCTGGCCACCCAGGCTGGAGAAAATCAGCACCTTCCGTTCCACCCCCTTCCCCAGACCCGCTCCTCTGCCAGCTCCCGTCCCACCTAGCTCGCAGAAGTCTCCTTCCCGGCCCATGGGGCAGGCGCACAAGGCACCTCCCTCCGGCACCCTCCCTCCGGCAGCACCAGGCAGGTGGCAGAGACGTGGCAGGGCGTCGGGTCGCAGGGGTTCCTCTCGTCGGCACACGTCGGGCCTGCGGCAGGAAAGGCAGCCCGTCAACATCGGCATCTCAAACCGGCAGCCGTCAGGTCAGAAGTAAATGCCTCTGAAGTCTCCTGATGCCCTGCCAGCCTTTTTCTCCTGTCTCGGGTTGGGTTCCCAGGACCCAGAGCGAACCCCACAAATGGCAGGTGATACCCTTGCCAGACTACACCCCTAAAACACACAGGGAAATTAATCTGTGCATGATAACAGATCCTGGACGTTGCCTTATGTGTGTAAGAATACATCTACATGCTAAACTTACCGACATCACTGGATGCGGCTTCACCCTACCCTTCTCCCTCCAACCTCCTGCTGACACTCCACACCACATCCCTCCCCACCGCAGCTCCCAACACCAGCCCCTGGGATCCCTCGGGGCCAGCCGGAGGGATGAGCAGCCCCATCAACACCCTGCCTGCTGCCCCGTACCGGTGTAGGTGTGGAGACACTCGCAGTGGAACATCTCTGCCTCCTTGACGTGGCAGATGCCACCGTGGTGACAGGGGTTGGGGTGACAGGGGTCGTTGCCGCACTCGCCCACCCCGCTGCCGTACAGAACGTCGCTGCCTTTCTCCCGCAG